TATTGTGGTCGAATCTGTCTGACCTCTGCATAACTTGGGGATGTGCTAATCGCCTTCCTGATATTATTGATCTTTTCAGAAAATAAGGAAGCAAACTCATTGCATTTGCTGTCGGAGAGCATTTCACTGGCAATCTGACTTGGGGGGTTTGTCAGTCTCTCAACAGTAGCAAAAAGAGTGCGAGTGTTGTTTAAGTTACTGTTTATAAGGTTTGAGAAGAAACTCTGTCTAGATGTGGTTAATTCCACATTGAAAGCACGAAGGCTGTCTTTATAGATGCTATAGTGGATTTCAAGTTTCGTCTTCCACCATATCCGCTCAGCTTTTCTGCATTGTCTTTTCATACTCTGAACTGCTGTTGATTTTCTCCAAGCTGATTTCTGTCTGCCAGTCTTCTTGCTGACTTTTACAGGAGCAATGTCATCAATAACTTTCTTAACTTTTGAGTTAAAGGAATCAAGGAGAAGATCAACAGAGTCTGCAGAAATGCTTGGTGTTAAAGATATAGCCTCCATAAATAGCACACTAGTGTTTTAGTGAACGCCCACATCAGCTCCGTGCACAAAGCGTGAGGATTCATCTAGTTCATCTTGGCTACTGTTCATTTCTGGAAAAAGTCGCGCTGAGATGAATAACTCAGGATTTACCTCAGAAAAGGAAAAAGATGCAACGCGCAACCTGACCCAGCCGAGGAGATCATTCTAATGAGTAAGTAATGTTTAGTTTTTGCATTAGTTTACGTGTTATTGTGGCATAAACTTGAACATTTACTAGTTGGGTTTTTCCCAAACTTTAATTCCTGACTAAAATGTTTGAAATCCAGTGAAACATTTTGAATATGACAGGCACTTCATTGTATCTAAATTTGTTACGACGCGATGATGTTTTCATGCTCTATATAATATAAAACAATACGATATAAAAGTAATAGGCGTGCATGATGAATGCTACGAGTCTAAGAATGTTTAGACCATGTTTATTATTAATACTCTGTTCTCAAATATATTTTATAAATATATTTCTATAAATGTTTAACGTACTAAACAATAAAAATTTGTTTCTCTGATATAAAATGTTCTTCTTACGGTAATACAAAGCATGCGTATAGTGAGCATATATATAGTGAACAAAATTATAAACGCAACACTTTTGTTTTTGCCCCCATTTTTCATGAGCTGAACTCAAAGAAGACTTTTTC